GATCAACAAGGGGGCATGGCCCCATTTGGCCTCCCCCTATCCATCTTGTTATATATATATATATATATATATGCACTGCGAGCGTCGCTCCTCCCCGCTTCGGCTTACAGCAATGGCGACGAACACAGGGGAATGCTACGTTCACGTTCACAAATTCACAGCTTCCTTCTATTCCTACGACGACGACGACGACGACGAACGCAGACGTTCACTTTATTTCGCTAACGATTTTGGCGTCGTTAATATCTATGGTAATGTGAGCGCGTCTGCGCCGCCGATATCACAGCATCATTCGGACACGCGGATGTTGTAAGCGAAGGCTAAGCTCGTTACTCAACCCGCAGTAAACGTCGCGGGGTTCTCTATTCCGCCCCCGTGTGGTTAACATGGAGATCTACATGGGTTCTATGATCTGTTGACTCCGCAGGTCGTAGATGGCTCGTGGCATGAATGTCATCAGCGCATGCGCAACCTCGTGAGAATTTGCCGCCGCTGAGGGCGCGGCGGGCGCTTTCACAAGTTGTCTCGCCGCTTTCTACCGCATGTCCGGTTTCGGCGTGAGTGCTTGTCCGACACACAGAGAGAATTGGCTAACACGTCACGTATCTCTTCTCTGCTGCTGCTGCTGCTGCTGCTGCTGCTGCTGCTGCTGCTGCTGCTGCTGCTGCTGCTACAAACCACGTCGTCGCCGCATCTAGAAAAAGAAGAACGGAAACCGAGGTTGTGATTAAACGTATTTGCGTACGTGCGCACACACGACAATCTGAATATACCTCGTACGGCTGTCAACTATAGGTGACGCTCGAAATGTGGCTTGATCGATCACGCTTTGGCGTGAAGAAAAAGTACGAGTACAAATTAGGAAGAACGACGGAGAAAGAGAGATATGGGTAATGAGATACTAACGAAAATCGTTCATGATATGTTATTAATGAAAGCCGGCTTATAATACTATATCCTACTATGCCTCAGTTGAATATATAGACATATGACATAGATATATATATATATATATAGATGCAGTATGTGGTAATCTTCGTTCAAGCTGGGCCGTTTCGTATTCCCGCAATATCCTGAGCGGGCGTCAGGATGATCTCGTCCGTGCCTGGCTTACGCGGCGAAACTCCTTGCGATGCCGGGCGACGTAGTTCGCGTGCTCGCCACTGCTGCGCGCTGCCTTGTCCACGGCGCTGCGCGTACATCTTCTCGATGCCCTTTCGTCAAGGTGAGGCATGGTCCGGACTGCCGCATGCGCAGGCTGTTAGCTGCCTGTCGTCGGCTCGCGCGGTTGCCTCCCTATACTGCGGCCGCGTGCGCTTTGCCGTGGTAGCAGCTGCGTGCTGTGGTGTCTGATCGTTATGTTGCTGTGATCGCTGTAGTGCGACAGACGCTTCTGGCGCCGCGCTCAAACTCGGCGCGTCTAGGCGACGAACGCTTTTTTCCCGCTGGCGGCGCTTGTCGTCGCCCGCCGGACAGCGCGCCGGTTCACACAGTCTGCATGAGTCCCATAATTGCTTGTCGTCTTGGCGGGAATCCAGAACGGGCTGCGTCCAATGCCGCCATTCCCGGAGCGATCGGCGAGGCACGAACGAACTCGCGATCTTTTTCATTGCGCCCTTGATGCCGCGCGGGTTGCGGGTTGAAGCGACAGTTTGAAGATGCCCTGGATGTCTTTGCCGCCGTCGCCGCCGCTCGCACCGCCACGACTGCCGCTGCAAGACGTGTCCGTTTCAGGCCGGTCGATGACGTTCGCCTTAGCCGTCCGCGGTTACCGCGCGCCATGTTCACGTACTGCGGCGACGCCAGGGCGGGCGCTGCTCACCGCTGGGGGTGTTTGTCGCAGGCCGCTGCAGCCGACAGGCGATGCATCGGTCGGCGCTACGCTGTGGAGACGATTGGCTCAGAGCACTGCCATAGTAATGAGGCGCAGCTGTTTGCTGACGTGGAAGTAGTTGGTAATTAGACACCATGAAGAAGATGCCGACGACGAATCCGCCCCAAGCGGACGGCACAGCGCCGGCGTTGTGAAACAGCTCGTCTTCCGTGCTTCATGCGCCACCAGCCGCCATCAGCAGCGGTTCTCAACGAGCATGATCGGCTGTAGAAGGCGATCATGCGCGCTGGGCGCGACTGTCCTCCTGCAGAGTGAGAAAGCAGAAGACGTAGGACGACGCGGACGCCCATCGAGACGACGTAGCGACGCCACCGCTCTCGTTCGCCTCGCCGAAAAAAGATAATGTTTCTGCGGAGAGCAGCCAGAGCAGCATGTGATTCCATGTGCAGCGCGACGACGAGAAACAAACCAGGAGCCATACAGAGGTCGCAGTAGACGGTCAGCGCCGTCACGCGCGCCGACACCCGTCCCCAAACCGGCCACATGAACTGCGTCATGACGCCATCCACGTCATGACGATCGCCGGTCGCGCGTTGCTTGCGTTCGCATGTTCTTGCCGTACGACGGCTGATGCGACCAGCGACGCAGAATAGCGGACAGTCCGACGTCGATGACGATGTTAAGATCGCGTGTACGGCGTGCGTCCACACGTAGTACTAGCTGTACTAACAGCATAGCGTGCTGCTCGCAGACCCATGCAGCAGCCGCAGCGTGCACAAGGTGTCGCGAATCGTCCGACTTAGCGACGGACCGCATATCGACGGGAATGAACAGTTTACAGTACGCCAAGCACGCCGCAGCCGAACGCAGTGTGCGCGGCGACGCACGGCACGTCGCCATTTCTCCTTCTTCGACGGGACTTCTCACCTGTAGCCAGACTAGCGGACGTCGCTCTGCGTCGAATCACCGATGACCGTCACGAGCGCGGTCGATCCGTAGAACCAGACGACGTTCCCCGCTTCGAGTAGATGAGAGTATACGGGTGACGAGTCGAAACGACGTCGCAGAAATAGGACGCAAGCGACACGATGTTGAAGAGTACCGTCGCATAACGGCAGGTATTCCTGCGCATTCTGTTATACTATACTCACTATCCCGCAGCAACACACCTCTGTACCTCTCTGTCTACATCTCACTGTGTGTGTGTGTGTGTGTGTGTGTGTGTGTGCGTGCGTGCGTGCGTGCGTGCGTGCGTGCGTGCGTGCGTGTGTGCGCGCGCGCGTGTGCGTCTGCATCTCTCTCTCTCTTTCTCGTTCTCTCTTCTCGCCCTCTCCCTCCTTTCCTTTCCTCCCTCTCTCTACTTCCCTCTCCCTCTCTCCCTACCTCATTCATTTTTAATGAGTCTTCTTCCCCCTGGCTCGCTTCTCCCTACTGCCTATGCCGTGAAAACGACTTCGCGAGGATGCATTATATCCAGTCGGTGCGTCAGCTTCCATCAATCTCCACAAATTAGCGAAGCCATCGCTGCTTCATCTCCGGCGTCGGGCCGAGCCTTTGAGTCGGTCGGAGCGGTCGTGTGATGTTCGCAGCGACAAAGACATGAAAGCGCTCGCCGATAGTCTAGGCTGATAATTAAAAGGCCCGAAGAGAACCGCCGTACGACGCTTCAAAAAGGGCTTAAATTAATATTATTACGTCGGCGAGCGTCACATGATCGGGTCGTATAAATAGGACGTGAAATAAATGTAGCGACGTTGCGAGTGTACACCTGAGGGCAGTGGCGTAGCCCAGATTTTTTAACAGGGAGGGGGGGGGGCAAAAACAGCGAACTGCGCAAAATTGTGGATGGCTTAATATTTTAATGGTTCCTTCGCTTCCCTTTCCACACCCTACGTTCCCCCACCTTTTAGCTCTGCAATCTTTGTTTTGGGCCGCCATGCAAAAAGGCGACATTTTTGTTCGTTGTTCTCTGCTCCGACGATATGTAACTGTTCAGTTACGGATGCCGGATTCGAAAGAGGGGGGTGACAACAGGCGGGGGTAAGGGGGTCCTCCCCCAGAACATTTTGAAAATGTAGATAGCAGGAGATGGTATTTGAGGCACTTTCGAGTACATGTACAGCCTTCATTCTGACTACGACAATTCTCTTTTTAGTAGAACAATTCTTTCTTTTCTTTTCTTTTTTAACTTTCGGATCAACAAGGGGGCATGGCCCCATTTGGCCTCCCCCTAACTACGCCACTGCCTGAGGGCGACGGAAGATGGGCACTGCAATTTTCAGCCCGATGTTAACCGGCACGTAATAGAGCGAACGCGGTGCACAGCGGGATGAATTAACAGAAACCATATATCCTCAAGAACAGCATAGACTATATCTTCTATTTGAAATGTTGTAGATATTATTGTAGATGTGAGGTATTTATAATGATTAATGCTGCAACCATTAGCTGTGTGTATATAAAATCATTCATATATGAAATCGTTCGCTTTTATGTATTTTTATCTACTACAGTTTTACGTTTAGTTATGATCTAACCACTTTAATCTTCGGTTTTTGCTATAACTATGTATTAATGCGTATTTATTAAACATATACACGTCGTTTGAAAAAAGTGTGCAGTAACAATATTTAAAATCAAACACGTCAGATTTAGTGTGTATTTGTTTAGTAGAGTAGTGTTTACTGTACAATAGTTTAACATGTATACATACAGATGATACGCAGTAGATAAAAACGCGTTGACACGTGCAAGGAGATAATGGCGCAGCTAATAGCAAGCAGCGCCCTTCTCAGCGCCCTCTACTGTCCAATCGATGTAGAAACCGCCATCTTTTTCACAGAAGCTAGAAGCATTAGCTACTGGCTTCGTAAGGAATGAAACGTGACGCAAACACATGTACAATATGTACACGAACACTTGTACTCACGTACACGCGTACACGTGTGTACGCGTACACACGTATACACACGTACACACGTACACACGTACACACGTACACACGTGTACACGTACACACGTACACACGTACACACGTACACACGTACACGCGTACACGCGTACACGTGTGTACGCGTACACACGTACACACGTACACACGTACACGCGTACACGCGTACACGCGTACACACGTACACGCGTACACGCGTACACGCGTACACGCGTACACGCGTACACACGTACACACGTACACACGTACACGCTTACACACGTGCACACGTACACACGTACAATATGTCCATCAGCTGTCTGTAGCGCATGTGCGGCTCACAACTGCGTCTCTCCAAGATCTTTGAGGTTGAGTTTCTTCACACTGATCTGTTGGCGCGTCACCTTCGCCTGACGTCGGCTGTCGTCGTTCTCCGCATCGGAGGAACCGCCGCCCGACCTCCTCCGTCCTCTGAACGTGTCGGCGCGGGTGGCGTTACGGTGTCGCGCCGGCTGCTGGTGTATTTGGTTCGTGATGTCTTTGGGGAGCGTTCGTGACCGCGGCATGCTCGCAGACTGCTGGTGACGTCGCAGCATCACCGCTTCCTGCGTCTGCCCGTCGTAGCTGTAGCGCTTGTGCTGCTGCTGCTGCTGCTGCTGCTGCTGCTGCCTGTCCTGGTAGGGAGCCGATAGTTGCTCGGAGTACACGCTGCCATAGATGCAGTTGTGGTAATCTTCGTTCAGCTGCCGTTCGTATTCCCGCAATACCTGAGGGGTCAGGATGATCTCGTCCGTGCCTGGCTTACGCGGCGGAAACTCCTGCGATGGCGGGCTGCCGTAGTTCGCGTGCTCGCCACTGCGGCGCTGCTTGTCCACGGCGCTGCGGTACATCTTCTCAATGCCCTCGTCAAGGTGAGGCATGTCCGGACTGCGCATGCGCAGGCTGTAGCTGCTGTCGTCGGCTCGCGCGGGTGCCTCCCTACTGCCGGCCGCGTGCGCTTTGCCGTGGTAGCAGCTGCTGCTGTGCGTGTGAATCGTGTAATTGCTGTGGTCGCTGTAGTGCGACAGACGCTTCTGCGCCGCGCTCAACTCGGCGTCTAGCGACGAACGCTTTTCCCGCGTGGCGGCGCTGTCGTCGCCCGCCGGACAGCCGCGGTTCAGCACAGTCTGCATGAGTCCCATATTGTTGTCCGTCTTGGCGGGAATCCAGAACGGCTGGTCCATGCGGCCCATTCCCGGAGGAATCGGCGGAGGCACGAACGAACTCGGCTTCTTTTTCTTGCGCTTGATGCGCGGGTTGAAGCGACAGTTGAAGATGCCCTGGATGTTGTTGCCGCCGTCGCCGCCGCCGCCACCGCACGACTGCCGCTGCAAGACGTGTCCGTTCACGGCCGGTCGATGCGTCGCCTTACCGTCCGCGTTACCGCCGGCCATGTTCACGTACTGCGGCGACGCCAGGGGGCGCTGCATCACCGCTGGGTGTTTGTCGCAGGCGCTGAGCCGACAGGCGATGCACTCGGTCGGCGTACGCTGTGAGACGATGCTCAGAGCACTGCCATAGATGAGGCGCAGCTTGCTGACGTGGAAGTAGTGGTAATAAAGCACCATGAAGAAGATGCCGACGACGAATCCGCCCCAGACGACGCACAGCGCCGGCGCGTGAAACCAGTCCGTCTCCGTCTTCATGCGCCACCAGACCGCCATCAGCAGCGTGTTCTCAACGAGCATGATCGTGTAGAAGGCGATCATGCGGTGGCGCGACTGTCCTTCCTGCAGGTTGAGAAAGCAGAAGACGTAGACGACGGCGACGCCCATCGAGACGACGTAGCGACGCACCGCTCTCGTCGCCTCGCCGAAAAAGATAATGTTTTGCGAGAGCAGCCAGAGCAGCATGCTGATCCAGTGCAGCGCGACGACGAGAAACAACCAGTAGCCATACAGAGTCGCGTAGACGGTCAGCGCCGTCACGCGCGCCGACACCGTCCCCAACCGCCACATGAACTGCGTCATGACGCCCATCCACGTCATGACGATCGCGTCGGCGTTCTTGCGTCGCATGTTCTTGCCGTACGACGCGAGCGACCAGCAGACGCAGAATAGCGACAGCGACGTCGATACGATGTTGAGATCGGTGACGGCGTGCGTCCACACGTAGTACAGCTGTACTAACAGCATAGGTGCTGCCTCGCAGAACCCATGCAGCAGCCGCAGCGTGCACAGGTCGCGAATCTCCGACTTAGCGACGGACATATCGACGGGAATGAACAGTTTACAGTAGCGCCACAGCACGCCGCAGCCGACGGCGTGTGCGGCGGCGACGCACGGCACGTCGCATTTCTCCTTCTTGACGGGACTTCTCACGTACCAGACTAGCGACGTCGTCTGCGTCAGAATCACCGATGACGTCACGAGCGCGAGTCCGATACCGAACCAGACGAGTTCCCCGCTCGAGTAGAGAGAGTATACGGTGACGAGGTCGAAGACGACGTCGCAGAAATAGGACGCCAGCGACACGATGTTGAAGAGTACGTCGCATAACGGCAGGTATTCCTGCGCCATCTTGTTATATATATATATATATATATATATATATGCACTGCGAGCGTCGCTCCTCCCCGCTTCGGCTTACAGCAATGGCGACGAACACAGGGGAATGCTACGTTCACGTTCACAAATTCACAGCTTCCTTCTATTCCTACGACGACGACGACGACGACGAACGCAGACGTTCACTTTATTTCGCTAACGATTTTGGCGTCGTTAATATCTATGGTAATGTGAGCGCGTCTGCGCCGCCGATATCACAGCATCATTCGGACACGCGGATGTTGTAAGCGAAGGCTAAGCTCGTTACTCAACCCGCAGTAAACGTCGCGGGGTTCTCTATTCCGCCCCCGTGTGGTTAACATGGAGATCTACATGGGTTCTATGATCTGTTGACTCCGCAGGTCGTAGATGGCTCGTGGCATGAATGTCATCAGCGCATGCGCAACCTCGTGAGAATTTGCCGCCGCTGAGGGCGCGGCGGGCGCTTTCACAGGTTGTCTCGCCGCTTTCTACCGCATGTCCGGTTTCGGCGTGAGTGCTTGTCCGGCACACAGAGAGAATTGGCTAACACGTCACGTAACTGTTCTCTGCTGCTGCTGCTGCTGTTGCTGCTGCTGTTGCTGCTGCTGCTACAAACCACGTCGTCGCCGCATCTAGAAAAAGAAGAACGGAAACCGAGGTTGTGATTAAACGTATTTGCGTACGTGTGCACACACGACAATCTGAATATACCTCGTACGGCTGTCAACTATAGGTGACGCTCGAAATGTGGCTTGATCGATCACGCTTTGGCGTGAAGAAAAAGTACGAGTAGAAATTAGGAAGAACGACGGAGAAAGAGAGATATGGGTAATGAGATACTAACGAAAATCTTTCATGATATGTTATTAATGAAAGCCGGCTTATAATACTATATCCTACTATGCCTCAGTTGAATATATAGACATATGACATAGATATATATATATATATGTGTGTATGTGTGTGTGTGTGTGTGTGTGTGTGTGTGTGTGTGTGTGTGTGTGTGTGTGTGTGTGTGTGTGTGTGTGTGTGTGTGTGTGTGTGTGTGTGTGTGTGT